ACATGAATACGCATACACACGCATACATACATACATACATACATACATACATACATACATACATACATACATACATACATACATACATACATACATACATACATACATACATACATACATACATACATACATACATACATACATACATACATACATACATACATACATACATACATACATACATACATACACAGTCAGTTCCATCTGACAGATTATACTTGCACAGAAATCGAGAACGGTTACCAAGTCGTGTTCGACACTTTCTGGGCACACAGTCGTGGTGTTGGTTAACGCTCTGTTTAACATTGTTGAGAACAAAGTAACCCTTATTTACAATGGATATTGCGAAGTGAGAATTAATGATGCAGTAAACTAATCATATCCACATGTGTGAATGTTTCACGCAGACCCGCATAACAGAGTAGGTCTCAGAACATACCCCTGCAGTGTCCCGTTCGCCAGGTTATTTGAACTGGTTAGTAGAATAGGTGTCGACTTACCTGCAACGCTTATTGAGGACAGGTATCCTTGAAAACGAAACTGACAGACGGCGAAACAGACACATACATATTGAGGAGTTAGCTCATTTCATAGTTTCTCACAGTGATGCGTGTGAATTGTGGTCTTTGCAGACACGCCGATGTCGATCGAATGTAGATCTGCCTACAGTCTGACCTCAATAGCTTTACACTTCCTTGTCCGCTCCAGTGCAGCTTGTGAAGTATATTTAGACCAGACTGGATTCAGTCTCTGTTCTGATCAGGAAGATACACTGTCCAATTTATACCTTATCGGTTTCGTAAATGGGTAACACTTTGTTTCTATCGCATATTATCGTTTGATTATCCCAGTAATCTATGGCTGTATTGTAAAGGGCTAATGTCATTATAAGAACAAAGTCAGATGTTGACAGGAGGCGGCTGAAATAACGATTTTCTTACTGTGTTGGTGCCAGCTTTGAATAACGTTTATGATTTTAATAATCTTCGTGCTTGTACAAGTTCATATACCCTTATACATGTACATGTAATTGTAATCTTATGGAGACTCCTGACCTGAAAAAGGTTGAGGTCATGGGGACGATTACGCTCTGAGTAAACCGTTAACGCGCCTGGCATTCCGCAGGTCATTTCTGAGTGTGATAGCAGCCAGGAAGTGATGGCGTCTTGCCGTTGTGTGATGGAACGCTGCTGACCACCTGCATGTCCCTGTTTAGCTGATCCAAACGTCCGTTGTCCGTTCCATGTGCTGGTCATCAGACTTGAGCGTTGTGTTGATCCAGTTTCAAGCATATGCTATGCATCTACCTAGTTCGATCGACAAACTGGTTTGACACTGAAGAGGCATACGTTCATTCAGCTATTGCAATCCTCTGTAGCAAATGTTCTTGTGCTCTGATAATGATGTGCAACGACATTGTCACGATATTACTCACGGTACTCAAAGGAACTAAATAAAGTGATATGCATCCTTCAGCACTGTTGTCAGCCAACACAGTCCGAGTGAGTGAGATTAGTTTTACGCCGCATTAAGCAATATTCCAGCAATATCACCAGAAATGGGCTTCACACATTGTACCCATGTGGGGAATCGAACCCGGGTCTTCGGCGTGACGAGCGAACGCATTAACCACTGGGCTACCCCACCACCCCAAAAGTTCGACACTAATTATAAAACTTGATAATACGTATGCTAGTAATGACAACGAAACTGAATAGTGGACATGAGTGAGTGAGTGAGTTAAGTTTTACGCCGCTCTTTTTAGCAATATTCCAGCAATATCACGGGAATCGAACCCGGGTCTTCTGCGTGACGGGCGGACGCTTTAGCCACTAGGCTACCCTACCGCCACATCAATGAGTGACAGAGTAGAGAGTTGTTAAATATTCCTGCAACGTCACGGCACGGGCATACCACAACTGACTTCAAAATTAGTATTGTGCCACGGGGAAAATCGACACCAGAATGTCGGAGCGAACACTTCAACCACTAGGCTACCCAAACGTCCACGAGTGATAGAAGAGTGAACGTAAACAAATGCCCTTTTCATTTTATCTTTTATGAACCAAGGTCAAAATGTTACTCTTTTACAAGTAATTGTAATTGTACATTACTTGTTATGAAAATATTGACAAAGATTAGATATGCAACACAGAGCTCTGACGCCATACCATAGGAAAACCAGGGAACGCAATCCGAATGTTGTAAACAGCGGTAATGCTTTTCTCATTTTCATGGCTTAGTTACCAACCTTTCCTCGTTGTTGTCATGGCAATACCCGCGACATGCCATCTTCTATTATTCAGGGTGTATTATCTCCATTGTATAATGATAAATACCCTGAACTCACTCTCACTCTGACTTCGTACCCGTGAAGATCCGGCTTAGAACTGGTCTTCAGTAACCCATGCTTGTCGTAAGAGGCGACAAACATGATCGGGTGGTCAGGCTCGCCGACTTGGGTGACACAAGTCATCCCAGTTGCATAGATTCATGCCCATGCTGTTGATCACTGGATTGTCTGGTCCAGACTCGATTATTTACAGACCGCCATCATATAGCTGGAACATTGCGGCGTAAAACAACAAACAATCAATCACTCAGACTTCGTTTCGTAAATAGTCAATTTCAGAGAATAAGGGTCTCGATTATCCATCCACCAAAACAACGGCGAAAATAGTATGAATGGATCATTGAAATACATTGATGAGGCCGGGGGTTCCCTAACGTCAGTCACTCGACACTTGCTAACACAGCAATTAAATTCTCTCTCTCACATGAGAAGGATTTCATTGTATGGCTTTTCGTCGTAGCGTTTGAATCGAAGAGATAGTAGTGAAAGGGTCCAGAGGATTTACATAAATTAGAATGGGTTCAATGCATTCGGGGCCAGAGAATGGGAATGTGCATGCCTTCGCGTACAGGTGAACAAACAAGGTTCAGCAGTGTTACACATGCAGTGAAAAGGCATTGACTCCGTCATTTCTATGTATCTTTCAGTTCGACTAGCGTTATAATGTATATCACCACTGTTGTCTGTCTCGCAGTCTCGAGCTAGGGTAACTCGAAACATACCCACTGGTACCATTCGTGACCAACTCGTGTTATTCCGGGACTTCTTGGAGGTTACGGAAAGGGGCGAGTGGTGTCCAAAGCCAATGGTACCTGTTCCTTGAGTTCACAACAGAACCTCCATAAATCGACGTGATTGAAACCGTATAAAAGACATCGAGTTAGCAGGAGCTCGTGACAAGCGGGATAGCTGAAATTAACATGAAACATAACTGTTTCAGGTGTGATATATACCTCAGAAGTTGTTCAATCAAGGTTACATGCCGAAGGCCTCGGTAAAACTTCCACAAGTGAAGGTCCGGGTTAGAATGAACCTTCAGTAACCCATGCTTGTCGAAATAGGCGACTAATGGGATCGGGTTGTTAGGCTCGCTGACTTGGTTGACACATGTCATCGGTTCCCAATTGCGCAGATCGATGCTCATGCTGTTGATCACTGGATTGTCTGGTCCAGACTCGATTATTTACAGACCGCCGCCATATAGCTGGAATATTGCTGAGTGCGGCGTAAAACTAAACTCACTCACTCACTCAGTGAAACTTCCAAAACGTTTTATGGCAGATGTGGAGGTATTTGAAAAATATGGAGGCATCAGGCAAATGATGTCCGATGCAAATCCTTAAATTAACTTGAACCATACGTTCCTTGTTTTTCAAGGTGAACAAATCATTGACTAGCCTGTGCATGTGTTTAAGTTTATGATTCGTAAACAAATGCTCATGATATACTGGGAATTCTACACTCGAGTTTGCTAGTAACAGATATTTCATATAGATGTGGAAATGTTTTGTCGCTTTTATATAGTATGTCTTTTCTGGAGGAGGGATGCAAGCTTTATTGACCATACAAAGTATTTTTCACTAATTACACCTGCTGGATACCGAGCTGGACATCGTGGTAATTACTAAAAAAGTAGTGACTGCATGTCTCATCCACATTATCAACCAGTCAACATATCCGTTTTCGGAATTTGGCGTTCCGGTAGAACAAAACATTTCCTCATTCTACACAGAACTGATCGTATGATTGCAACTTACGACGAAAGTGTTAAATGGGAAAATCCGTCATACGAACAATACCGGAAGTTCCGTTTGTCGTCTGCCACGTTTGTCGGGTTGTTTGTCCTTAAATGGCCTTGACTGCGTTGGTTAATATATATGACATTGTAGTAGTAGTACTACTAGTACTACTAGTAGTAGAAGAAGTGAGAGAGTGAGTTTAATTTTACGCCGCTTTTAGCAATATTACAGCAATATCACGGCGGGGGACACCAGAAATGGACTTTACACATTGTACCCATATGGGAAATCGAACCCGGGTCTTCAGCGTGACGAGCGCACGCTTTAACCACTAGGCTACCCCACCGCCCTGTAGGCCTAAAGAGTGTAAGTAGATCAAATCATAATGTAATGTATGTCATCAACCCGTACATGTTGAGTACAACAGTTGACTTGCATAAAAGTTTACCTCGCCAAGTTGTATGCATCCTGTTGATGACATGTTCAGTTAGGTACTGACGCTTGATTATTGTACTATCCTAACGACGTTGACCCTATGGGTAAGTGAGTGTGTTTAGAAATTACGCCGCTTTTTGCAACATTTCAGCTATATCACGGCGGGGAACACCAGAAGTGGGCTTCACACACTGTACCCATTCTGGGATCGAATCCGGGCGTCGGCGTTGCCCGGGGATAACACTACCATAAAAATAAAGGAGCCATAAAATAAGTTGTAAAAATAACTGTGACGTCACGGCGACAGGACGTGTCAATCTACAGACATTCAGACCGCTTTGTTGTGTTGTGTCCTTGAAACCAAAATACAAGATTTTGTTCAACAGTTTCGAACACATATGTACAACGTACGTTGAACGGACTTGTCAAATTTGACACAGAGTCTGGATAAGAGTTATCCGCTCTTAGTATATTTGAAGATGGCCGACTCGGACTCGGATGCGAGCAGAAATGAAAATATTTTAACAGATTCTTTCCTCCATTTGGAAGAAATAGACGTGAACCTGTACAGGTAGTTTCAGTTTTCAAGAGTCCCTTTAAGAATTGTATATCTGACGAATGTCATTCATCATTCCTGTAAATGGGACACTTTTCCCATTGCTTTTAATGTCTTTTACGGAGAAAGCACTGTTTGAAACGGACATAAAATATTTAGTTCCGTCCCGGTATCTAAAGACAATGCACAGACCATAAGTGTCTCTGATTTCAGGGCATTGCAGAACTCTTTCCCATTGCATGTCATATTAATGCAGGGACCTTCATTTGCTTGTAATTGATTAGGATTAAAAGTCTCTCAACATAGGAATTTATAATGGCTGAACATGTGATATGGTTTGTAGGTAACATTCAAGTCGTAGGGCTAGGGCGGACTTTGACCGAATTAATGCATTCGGCTATCACGACTAAGGCACATGTTTGTCTCCCTACATGGGTACAAAGTGTGGAGTCAATTTCTAGCGTACCTCATGATATTGCTGAAATATTGGTGCAAGCTATTTAAAACCTCACCCAAAGACGTATATACATCTATGCCTCATCCATATACTCTGTATTCAGTCTTTACATTTGTCAAAGTTGAAATGTTTGGAGTGGCTTATGCAATGGGAACATGTATTACATTTGTGTGACAAAGGTTTATCTTTCCCTACATACTTAAGGTAATGGGGAGATTCCTTTAAGACAGGGGGGTAGTGTTTTGGGAAAGCATAAATCTGAACCATATGCCCTCTCTTGTGTGATATGTTGGTAGACCAACCCCACTTGGTCACACAAAGTTTATGTATCAAGTACTATTTGTCATGGTCGGGGTTAAAGGGGGTTAAAGTATTGTAAAATTATTGTCTACCTGAGAGGGTATATAACACCACGTAAGCATATTTAATCTGACCACATATTTAAACGTAGTATATATGTTCGTTTAAATTAATGGCTACATTTGTCTAAATGGCCAACAGCTGAAGGGATGATGTAGATCCTGCTAGGGTCCATTCAGTTAGCAAATTAAAGTACTGTAAGTCCCCATTGTCCCTATAAATTATGGTGATCTTCCTTCAGTTGCTGGCGAATTATGGCCAATTTGTATATTATATTGTTGCAGATAGGAATAGTGTTTTATTGTTTAATATGAGTTTTAAGTGTAAATCTGTGACAGACTAGTGTATCTATATACATACATTGACAAATTTTGTTGTTATTTTTTTTTATATTTAAAATTTACAACTTCCATAGTCACAATATGGCTGAAATACTGCTGAGGTTACATTAAATTTGAACTCACTCACTACTATTTGTTATGAATCAAAACTGGTTTCATATAAAAACAAGTTCATCAAATCACTAGATTTTAAGATTATATGTACAGAAACAATACTTTCACAGTTTAGTATTAAGGTTATGCCGATCATATTTATGTTTTCAGGGGTGTAAATTTGTTCCATCCAACTGGGGCAAGGGCAGTGTACGGAGGTCAAGTCGTGGCTCACGCCTTGCGAGCAGCTTACACAACAGTCCAATCCGAGCACCATGCCCACAGTGTACATTGCTACTTCCTGAAGGGAGGTAAGTGGGGCGCAACTAGCAATAAGCAGAGCTTAAAACTCTCATTTATTATTAAGTCATGATGATGATACTTCCTGAAAGGATCGAGGTTTGAGGCACAGCTGACAAAAAGCAGGGTTTAAAACACATATTTATTAATACGTCCCGATGATGATGATGATGATGATGATGATGATGATGATGATACTTCCTAAAAGGATCGAGGTTTGAGGCACAGCTGACAAAAAGCAGGGTTTAAAACACATATTTATTAATACATCCTGATGATGATGATGATGATGATGATGATGATGATGATGATACTATTAATTTGCAGCCGTCTAAACAGGAAAATATATCAAACCCAACAGCTGTTTTTTATGTCATTCTCAGACACACCGTCCAAAGTTTGTGATTTTTTCTCAGTAGTAAGGCCATTTTTTAACACATTTACCATCTCATGACTACATTACCAAAGGGAATAAGAGAGGTATAGTTATCACTTATCTGTAATGTTTTTTCTTTGATGTTAGGAAGTGCAGACAACCCCATCCTGTACTATGTGGACCACACACGTGAGGGTCGGACATACTGCAACCGCAATGTCAAGGCCATACAAGATGGAGCAGCCATCTTCACGATGCAGGCATCCTTCAAGAAAGCAGAAACTGATGTGTACACCCACCAGTACTCTATGCCTGATGTGCCTGGGCCGGAAGGACTGCTGTCTAGTCTGGAGATCATGGAGAGGCAGCTCAAGTCAGTCTAATATGTTTGTTTGTTCGTTTGTTTGTTCATTCATTCATTCATTCCTGAAGATCTTCAGCAACTTAGGCTTATTGTAACATGTGACCAACAGGATCAATGGGTCAGGCTTGCTGACTTGATTGACACATGTCACCATATCCCAATTGATTAGATTGGTGCTCATGATGTTGATCTCTTGACTCAGGGCTACAGATAAGGGGCATACAAAGCGTAATGTATGCCTCAAAATGAATGAAGTACGACATAATATAAGATTTCAAGCATATCATGTAGGCACATAAATACCTTTGTACGTCTAACACTTAATTTGCGTGCGTATCGTGCAAATGGAAATCTATTTTGGATAAATACTTGTTGTCAAGACTTGCTTTTGCAAAACGCGATTTGACACATGAGGAAACCCCAGCAGTGGGAATCCCTTGCGTTGCCATGCAATGGTATGCGTCACTATTTTTTGATTGGCTAAAAACAACACTGTTCCTATTTATATCCAATCGGCACTCACATTTCGCGCATCACATGGTCGCTCAGTTATTTCTGACTCGTCTTTAAATACAAAGACATGGTTGGAAATAGTGATCCATGAATCGTCCAGACAAACCACATCACCAACTCACTCACACAAAAACATGTCAGTACTCCAGGGTCCTTCAAAATTCTCAGTACACCTCCACTTGCAATATGGTGTGTAAGTACACCCACACCCCAAAAAGTTATCATGAGCCCTGTGACTGTCTGGTCCAGACTCGATTATTTACAGACTGCTGCCATATAGCTGGAATATTGCTGGGTTCGGTGTTACACAACAATTCATTCATTCATTCATTCATTCATTCATTCATTTATATTTTACAATAAACTGAGACTGGAAAACATATTCTTTAAAGTGATGTGTTAAGGTAATTATGTCAGTCTTTGAAAAATTTAGCCTGAAGATAAATATGAATATTGTTTTTGAAAGAGAAGTGAAAATGTTACTACTCTTTTATTTACATTCTTTGAGGTTTTAGTTGAACACGGACATTGGTTATTCTTCACCATACATATAGCATTACTGGAGAAGGATAAATCTTGTATATTGGTGGTGTGACATGTTTTTATCATATTGTGTTTCATAGTAGTGGTGGTCTCATTAATTGAAATAATCGAAGAATACCAAGAAATCGAACGTTTTCTCAAAATCGAACACAAACAAATTTGGAACACTTGTTTGCATTAACTATATTTTTCACAAGGTTGGTTTTGTCTGTTACATTTCATAAGCACTACAAGCTCGTTCCAAGTCATGATTGAATTTATCTTAAAGACTCCAGGAAATTTATGTTCCTAACATACTAGTCATCTTTTAAGGATGTGTAATTTGAAAAACAGCACACAAGAGCTACATATGTTTTTTCTTCATTTTTTTGTGCATTAGCAAACATGACCAGGAAAATTTGATAAATGATGCTAACCAATTATTTTCGATAATTGATTGGTTGTAATGAACCAATCATCAATTGTGAGATTTTAACAAATTCCCAACACTATTCCATAGGTGTGTATATGTGATTCAGCTGTCCCCAACCATAACCATGTATGACAGTCTGATCAGAGTTGATGGACATATTTTCCAGGTCAGACAATGTGTCAGAAAGGAGGAAGCAGTATTTAGAAAAGAGACTGACAGAAAAAGTGACATATGAAAATCGTCCAGTGAACGAGCAGTATTCTTCAAAAGAGGAACCGATGGCGCCCTTCACCTACAACTGGGTCCGGGCTCTTGGACATATAGGTACTGATATAGAACACCTCTCTTAAATTCTGTACCAGGCACTAAATACTTCTCCTGACTTCCATCTGTACAGGTACTAAATACCTCACCTGACTTCCTTTTGTGTGTGTAGCTGTCTGCCAGGAGTGTGTAGCTATCTGTCGAGCGAGTGTAGCTGTCTGTCAGGGGTGTGTAGTTGTCTGTCAGCTATCTGTCAGGAGAGTGTAGCTGTCTGTCAGGAGAGTGTAGCTGTCTGTCAGGGGTGTGTAGCTATCTGTCAGGAGAGTGTAGCTGTCTGTCGGGTGTGTAGCTGTCTGTCAGGAGAGTGTAGCTGTCTGTCAGGGTGTGTAGCTGTCTGTCTGTCAGGGGTGTGTAGCTGTCTGTCAGGGGTGTGTAGCTATCTGTCAGGAGTAGCTGTCTGTCGGGTGTGTAGCTATCTGTCAGGAGAGTGTAGCTGTCTGTCGGGTGTGTAGCTGTCTGTCAGTAGAGTGTAGCTGTCTGTCAGGGGTGTGTAGCTGTCTGTCAGGGGTGTGTAGCTGTCTGTCAGGAGTGTGTAGCTGTCTCTCAGGGATGTGTAGCTGTCTGTCAGGATGGTGTAGCTATCTGTCAGTGGTGTGTGGCTATCTGTCAGGGGTGTGTAGCTGTCTGTCAGGGGTGTGTAGCTATCTGTCAGGGGTGTGTAGCTGTCTGTTGGGTGTGTAGCTATCTGTCAGGAGAGTGTAGCTGTCTGTCAGGAGAGTGTAGCTGTCTGTCAGCGGTGTGTAGCTATCTGTCAGGAGAATGTAGCTGTCTGTCAGGGGTGTGTAGCTATCTGTCAGGAGAGTGTAGCTGTCTGTCGGGGTGTAGCTGTCTGTCAGTAGTGTGTATCTGTCTGTCAGGGGTGTGTAGCTATCTGTCAGGGGGGTGTAGCTGTCTGTCAGGGTGTGTACCTGTCTGTCAGGGGCGTGTAGCTGTCTGTCAGGAGAGTGTAGCTATTTGTCAGGTTGTGTAGCTATCTGTCAGGGGTGTGTAGCTGTCTGTCAGGGAGCGTACCTGTCTGCAGGTGTGTAGCTGTCAGGTCTGTCAGTCTGTCAGGTGTGTAGCTGTCTGTCAGGAGTGTGTAGTTGTCTGTCAGGAGAGTGTAGCTATCTGTCAGGTTGTGTAGCTGTCTGTCAGGGTGTGTAGCTATCTGTCAGGTTGTGTAGCTATCTGTCGGGGGGACGTAGCTACCTGTCCGGGTTGTGTAGTTGTGTAGTTGTGTAGCTGTCTCAGGAGGAGAGTGTAGCTGTTTGTCAGGTTGTGTAGCTATCTGTCAGGGGCGTGTAGCTGTCTGTCAGTAGAGTGTAGCTGTCTGTCTGTCAGTGGCGTGTAGCTATCTGTCAGGAGAGTGTAGCTATCTGTCAGGTTGTTTAGCTATCTGTCATGGGTGTGTAGCTGTCTGTCAGGAGTGTGTAGCTATCTGTCAGGGGCGTGTAGCTATCTGTCAGGGGTGTGTAGCTATCTGTCAGGGGTGTGTAGCTGTCTGTCAGGAGAGTGTAGCTGTCTGTCAGGGGTGTGTTGTTGTCTGTCAGGGGTGTGTAGTTGTCTGTCAGGGGTGTACCTGTCTGTCAGGGGTGTGTAGTTGTCTGTCAGGGGCGTGTAGCTATCTGTCAGGGGCGTGTAGTTGTCTGTCAGGGGTGTGTATTTGTCTGTCAGGGGCATGTACCTGTCTGTCAGGGGTGTGTAGCTGTCTGTCAGGGGTGTGTGTGCTATCTGTCAGGGGGTGTGTAGTTGTCTGTCAGGGTGTGTAGCTGTCTGTCAGGGGTGTGTAGCTGTAGCTGTCTGTCAGGGTGTGTAGCTATCTGTCAGGGTAGCTGTCTGTGTCAGGGTGTGTAGCTATCTGTCAGAGAGCTGTCTGTCAGGGGTGTGTAGCTGTCTGTCAGGGGTGTGTAGCTATCTGTCAGGGGTGTGTAGCTGTCTGTCAGGGGTGTGTAGCTATCTGTCAGGAGAGTGTAGCTGTCTGTCAGGGGTGTGTAGCTGTCAGGAGAGTGTAGCTGTCTGTCAGGGGTGTGTAGCTGTCTGTCAGGGGTGTGTAGCTGTCTGTCAGGGGTGTGTAGCTGTCTGTCAGGGGTGTGTTGTCTGTCAGGGGTGTGTAGTTGTCTGTCAGGGGTGTACCTGTCTGTCAGGGGTGTGTAGCTGTCTGTCAGGGGTGTGTAGCTATCTGTCAGGGTGTGTAGCTGTGTCAGGGGTGTGTTGCTGTCTGTCAGGGGTGTGTAGTTGTCTGTCAGGGGTGTGTACCTGTATGGCAGGGGTGTGTAGCTGTCTGTCAGGGGTGTGTAGCTATCTGTCAGGAGAGTGTAGCTGTTTGTCAGGGGTGTGTAGTTGTCTGTCAGGAGAGTGTAGCTGTCTGTCAGGGGTGTGTAGCTGTCTGTCAGGAGTGTGTAGCTGTTTGTCAGGGGTGTGTAGCTGTCTGTCAGGAGAGTGTAGCTGTTTGTCAGGGGTGTGTAGCTGTCTGTCAGGAGAGTGTAGCTGTCTGTCAGGGGGGTGTAGCTGTCTGTCGGGAGAGTGTAGCTGTTTGTCAGGGGTGTGTACCTGTCTGTCAGGGGCGTGTACCTGTCTGTCAGGGGTGTGTAGCTGTTTGTCAGGAGAGTGTAGCTTTGTTACTGTCTACTCACCAGGTGATGACTCCAGGATGCACCAGTGTGTAGCTGTTTATCTGTCAGACTCTATCCTGGATGTTGCGGTCCTCCCTGGTGGGATCCATGGAACTAACAGTAGACGGAGGATGTTCATGACATCGCTGGATCACTCTGTGTGGTTCCACAACCCATTCTGTATTGACGAATGGATGCTTTATGAGAAGGAGAGTCCACATTGTGGTGAGTTAAATTCATATTGCCCTTTGGCCCATTGCACGAAGCGATCTTAGTGCTATGGGCATCTTAAGTCTATGTTAGATGAATGGAGTTACCATTGTCTAAGATTGCTATTGGCATGTTGGAATTATTAAGATGAAGTAAAAGGGATATTAGCAAATTAGTCATCCTCATGTATTCAGGCTATGGAAGCAGATGCGTCCAGGCTATTTATTGGAACCCAGTGTCAACATGTTAGTTGCAAAGAAAACTTCAGATTACTGTAAATGAGTTGAGCGTTCATGATTAAGAATTAACTTCATTACTCCTGTTTACGCATTTTATACAAACATGTGTTTGGTATTTTAAACAAACATGTGAGAAGTTCTGTTTGATCCAAATTAATGCTATGAGAATGTGAGAAGCCATGTTATAAGTAAAGAAAGATTATATTTATATACTCTTCATGCTGAGTTCCAAGGCGAATATTGACACGACTCCAGTCGTTGAGGAATGACCTCATCAACAATCAGATTGGCGAGGTTGATTACACTGACAGTGTTGCAGATCTACTGCACTTACAGTGACAATGAACATGACTTGCTGTGAAGTGATTTGTCATGTATCAAATAGTAATCCAGCAGGCTTGAGGTGCCAGGATTGAGCCCACCAGTCACCGGGTGTAAAAACCTTGGAGTCAACTTTGTGTGCAGGCTCTTTCAGTGTTGTCACAACCCCTAGTGTACAGTACACACACACACACACACACACACACACACACACCCTAGTGTACAGTACACAACCCCTAGTGTACAGTACACACACCCCTAGTGTACAATACACACCCCCAAGTGTACAGCTCACAATAGGGGTGTTCCAATTAATTGAAATAATCGAAGATTGGTTGCAGTGACCAAACGACCAAGCAATCGATCACATTTTCTCATAATCGAACATAAACGATTTTGGAACTACTGTTTTAGTCTTTGAAATACTTGACAATGGAACATATCTTAGAAGTTGTCAGGGCCTGGAAACATGTTTATTTTAAAAAAACTCACTTCACTAACTGAAAAGTCATGATGGAATATTTCTCTAAGACTCCAGGAAGTTTATGTTCATGATATATTAGTCATCACTTTAATGTTGTAAGTTGCATCATGTTATACTTTTCTGCAGTAACAACCTGGATAGGAAAATCTGAAAAATGACGCTAACCAATTGTTTTCGATGATTGTTCGTTGGTAATGAAGCAATCATCAATTGTGAGGATTTCAACCAATTCCCAACACTAGTACACAACCCTGTACACTTAAAAGAACCTATGAATCCGTTGGAAAATAACCTGAATGTGGCCACATGAATAAGTGCAAACTCCTAGTTGTGGGTACAGCAACATGCAGTAAAACTTGGACAAAGTACTGTGACTATGTGTCCCAGTCCACCCAGCTGTAAATGGGTACCTCGTAAGGATCGGAAAGCCACATTAACTCGGTGTGCCCAGTGGCTGCAAGAGTTGTATGGTCCCCAGGGAGTTGAGATTGATATCCAATGATCAAGGGAAAATCAAAGCGCGCCAATCAGCAGCTGGTCTGGATATTGGCTACACAAATGTTAGTATATCAGTTCAAATATATGCTGTATCGATAGTATTAATGTCAACTATGGTATGGTTCAATAAAACTCTAAATCATTCAAATTCTTTTGTCGCTGATGTTCTTACTCAGTGGTGAGAAATCCCAAATTCAAAATCACTGACCAAACATATGGCCGATAAAGTCCCACTGTATTCTACCTATATAATTTGGAATGTCACTTGCCTGGCTGTAAACTGTAGTTAAAGCTACAGCCGTGATAGCTGAAATATTTTTTTACTGTCGTTAATATTCGTTCTGTCGCTCACACCATGTTTGTTTTAGCTTATGATCTGGATCATTGCACCTAAACCACAACGTATATTAATAGACATCTGTGATATGATTGGAGTATAGTGAGTGAGTGAGTGAGTTTAGTTTTACACTGCTTTTAGAAATATTTCAGCAATATCACGGCAGGGGACACCAGAAATGGGCTTCACACATTGTGGGGATTCGAACCAGGGTCTTCAGCGTGACGAGTGACCCCATTAAGCTACTGGCTGGATTATATCTGACTGTAGCACTGAACAATGTTCACTCATTTACTGCATATCTAAATTAGTTTCTAACTCTTTACTTTTCTCAGGTGATGGCCGGGCAATGACCCTTGGTCGACTGTGGAAGAGGGACGGCACACTCGCCATGTCGGTAGCCCAGGAGGGAGTCGTTAGAACCTTCAAGTCCAGTTTATGATACACATATGCAGCAGAATAGGCGCGCTTGACTGAAACTGTTACTCCAGACATCGGTTCTTAGTTTACTTCATGATTACTGCCAGGACATTACTACACAATAATACTTACCGTTTTCAATGATATAAGTGTCCTGGTTGTGGCGGACTTGCTAATCAAACTAGATAAGATTTAACTATATTCTCAAAGATCAAATGGTTGAGAATACATTTTACGTGATTGTTGAGCAAACTGGGAGTGTTTGAATGGTTCCTGAGCAATAATATTACCATCTGTGCTGCTGTTCTGAGTAAGTCTGATATACACTACAATGTATGGACTGTCAGGTACATATACATACATCTGTCACAGATTGGTCTGGAAGTTGGATGGGACACTTGTTGGAGCAGGGCTCTTATTATGGTGAATGCAGTACAGTACACAAAGTCCGCAGTCTAGACTACCAGTTGTCTGACTTCCATTTTTGGGAAGCTGCGCTGGCTGAGTGGGTTAGATGGCAGACTTGTGTGCTGGCGATTAGGTGCGTGACTCTGAGGGTGTGGGTTCGAATCCCGGATGGGACTCAACCCAACAAAAGTACTAGAATCTGCACTTTACTAAGAAAGTGTAATCCCAAATATAACATATGTTACATTTGACCACTTGGCATTGTGTATTCATACTGATGATTTGTTGATTTGTATATTTGTTGTTCTGAACAATTTCATGTGAAACACTGTCATAGCTGTCTTTCACTTTCTACACACATCCGGTGAAACATTATCACAAATTTCAAGTATGGATCCACATGCATTTATTACTGTGAGCATTATAATATGTATATTACGGTAATATAATGTCTGCATACATTTTGTATTTTTTAATTCATCTTTGTCTACAGTGATACAGATATTATCACTATGGAAATATGTTTGCTTTATAATCCAGTTATTTCACTGACAAGATCAGAATACATGTAGATATTTCATTTGATATGTTGATACTGAAGTTTCCAGTCGATGGCATGGTGTATATTTAGAAGGAATTTGAATGAAGACACAGAGTAATATATTTTTAACAGAATCTTTACAACTAATATTTACTCAATATATATTTGGATCTGATGTTTTCTTGATGTTTGATAACTTCCTGATGCTGTACATAGCCTTCATTATACTTAAAGCTTTTTTAGTTCTGCAGGCAAAAGTGGAAAAGCCTGTATGCAAATATGAAAGCATGTATACCTTGAGGGACTGGCCGTTGTATTTTCAGATACCTGTGATGTGATTTTTATCCCTCACCGCAGGTTTGGCGCGGAGCGGAGGATATAGTATTAGGCTCCGTCCGTCCGTACGTACGAATTGGAATATCTTAAGAACCATTGACTGGATTCTTTTCATATTTGTTACCTAGGTTCATCACAGTAAAAGAGAGGTCCGAGTCAGGGTTGGTGACCTTGACTTTCATTTCAAGGTCACAAGGGGCCTTTAACGTTTTGTCCTTGTCAGCGCGATATCCCAAGAACCTTTCTCTGGATTTTCTTCATATTCAGCACCAAGCTTTATCTAGGGAAAGCACAGGGCCTAGTCGATTTTGTGACCTTCACTCAATTTTCAAGGTCATGGCGACACTTTGAAGATTTGAGCATGTTAAGCTTGTCAGCGAGATATGTCAAGAACCGTTCACTGGATTTTCTTCATATTCAACACCAAGCTTTATCTAGGGAAGGCACAGGGCCCAGTTGATTTTGGTGACCTTCACATAATTTAATTTTCAAGGTCACGGTGACACTTTGAAGATTTCAGCATGTTAGACTGCATGTTAAGATTGTCAGCGAGATATCTCAACAACCATTCACTGACTAGACTTTCTTCATATTTGACACCAAGCTTCATCTGGGGAAGGTGCAAGGCCCAGTCGATTTTGGTGACCTTCACATAATTTCAAGGTCACGGTGACACTTTGAAGATTTCAGCATGTTAGACTGCATGTTAAGATTGTCAGCGAGATATCTCATGAACAGTTCACTGGATTTTCTTCATAGACTTTCAAGACTTCCCTTGAATGTTTCTCAATAAGCAATTTCTTTATTACTATTTTTGCATATTTCATACACTAAGGCATTCATGTCAAGGTCAAAGTAAGTCTTGAAAATATTTGTGCGTTTAAACAACTACAGATCAAGATATCAAGAGCGGTTGACTGGTCATGTTTTTGTTGACATTTAACTTCATCTTAAATTGCGACCTTCACTTTCATTACTTTTTAAGTTTGATTTGATAATTTGCGGCTGGGGATTATGTCACCTTAGTGACAATGCTTGTTTGTTTTTTGTTTAAACATATTTTTTATTGCCAAAAGAAACAGATTGGTAAACAAGCGTAAATGCTTATATCATTACTGCTCCGGTAACAATGGACACTAACAAGACTGATCTCAGAAAAGGTCAACAAAGTAACACTTGTGAGTAAGTGGTGCCAGCGTAAAAACAGATTTGTAGACTGGAATTCAGTGTACTTTAGTGAAAAGAATAAGTATGAGTACAGATTTAAGAATGTCCAAGTGTGTTGAGTTACTTAACAACGTGACCGCCTCCGTGGTGTAGTGGTTAGAGCGTCCGCCCGGAGAGCGGAAGGTCGCGGGTTCGTTCCCCAACCGCGTCATAACAAAAGACGTTAAAATATGGTACTTGTTGGTCCCTGCCTGGCGCTCGGCATTAATGGGTACAACAAGGACTGGTCGGCTCGGAGTCAGTATAATGTGTCTGAGTGGGGTATTCATGCTTCACTGCGGCATGGACCCGTGAAGATCCGGGGTAGAATAGGTCTTCAGCAACCCATGTGCTTGCCATAAAAGGCGACTATGCTTGTCGTAAAAGGCGACTAACGGGATCGGGTGGTCAGTTTTGCTGACTTGGTTGACACATGTCATCGGTTCCCAATTGCGCAGATCGATGCTCATGCTGTTGATCACTGGATTGTCTGGTCCAGACTCGATTATTTACAGACCGCCGCCATATAGCTGGGATATTGCTGAGTGCGGCGTAAAACTAAACTCACTCACTCACTCACTGCGGCATGGTATCTCAGTGAGCTATCACTATAAAACCAGCTTCAGTCTGGGCTAGTACAAGCAGCCGCACATACACATACACACGCATGCACGTCGTCAAATGAGCGAAATATTCTCAAGCTCGACGTTAAACCCAATTTCACCTCACCTCACCTCACTTAACAACGTACTTCCGTATAAAACTATATTAAAGTGATCACATTCAGTGTAAAAGACATATTTTTCCTAATATGGTGATATTTACAACATGTGAAAACATAATGTAGGATGTCTTCATAGTGATAACCACATGAACAGTTATATATTTAGGACATGTGTCTATTAAGTAATCAGCGTTCAGACCGCAGCAGCCGATTTTTTTCTTTCTTGCATGAATTACCCTTGGTGACAAGGGACCCATTTCAAAATGCCATCATGGGTTCCAGTTGTTCGAAGTCTGTTCATGTGTGCAGTCACCTGAGTGATATCATCATGGTATAGACCCAAGGAGGGAAAGTTTGTCATCTACAAAAATTCTATCAGAAATTCAACATATAATTGGGCAGTCTGCAAAACAATATTTTTGGGGATAGATTTTACTTTAAATCCCACACTCACCTTGTTGGATAGACTAATGACTAGTGGCTGAAAGTATTTAATTTCACAGAAAGAAACATCTACATTGAACCTGAAAAACAGCCTCTGTGAGTTTGGGAGATTCATTGGAAAAAAGGGCTTGCCTCTGTTAGGTCTAGAACAGTACTGTAATATATTTGCATTAATTACCAATGGTTCAGCGACTACGAGACTTGACAGGTCATGCTGATGCTTAGGGATGCTTGGAAAATCATATTTTGTTATTATGGTTGTATGTTTTCAGTTGTGAGAAATAGACCTGTTTACTTATCATTGTACTTGAGATAATTGAACTTGAAATACTAATATAGGTATCAAGCCTAGAGAAAGAGGGGTGGTGAGTTAGTATAGTGGTTAAGGCGTTCGGGCGACACGCCAAAGATCTGGTTTGATTTCCGGTTTGATTCCCCATGTTGGTACATTATGTAAAGCCTATTACTAGTGTTCCTTGCAGTGATATTGCTTGAATATTGCTAAAAGCAGTGTAAGACTAACTCGCTCACTTGTGAAAGACAAAGACAACAGTTAATCAGATGTAACCATTTGTTAAACAATAAATGTTAAAGTTGTTGGTGTGCTTCTTTATGAGGACCTCTCCTCGGTGGTGTGGATATACAGTGGAAAGTTTCCAATCCCGCAGGGTAATACCAGGAGGAGGTTTCAGTGAAAGGACTGGCTGGCTGGCTGTGGCTGTGTGAGTTTAGTTTTACGCCGCATTCAGCAATATTCCAGCTATATGGCGGCGGTCTGTAAATAATCGAGTCTGGACCAGACAATCAAGTGATCAACATTATGAGCATCGATCTGCGCAATTGGGAACCGAAGACGTGTCAACCAAGTCAGTGAGCCTGACCACCCGATCCCGTTCGTCGCCTCTTACGACAAGCTTGGGTTACTGAAGATCAATATTCTAATCCGGACCTTCAAGAGTACATGATGCGTCTGAGTGGGGTGTTCATGTTAAACCTACAGCACAGTATCACTGTGGATAACAGTACAAACCGACATTAGTTTATATTGTTGGTTCAAACTGACCGTTTGAAGTTCTGAGCAAATGTTATATTTCATATTTATCTCTATGCATAAAAGGTCAGAGTGACAAAAATTCACAAGACCGAAGGATGACTTCAACATTCCAGCAATTAGATTTCCCTGTATTTCCAGCAATATTCCAAAGCTTAGCTTTTAGTGTCCACATTTCAAGATATTTAGATGCCTTGAATGTTGTAACCTTCATAAAATAATTTCTGAGCGAAGAGTAGTATGGAATCATTGAAATCTGACTTTGTTGTAAGACTATGCATTGTTTTTCTTTAAAAGTTATGAAATATAGACACCAAAGACTGTCAGCATAAAGGGGATAATTAGAATGTTAGTTTGGGAATTATATTGTTCAGTTTTGTCCTTGGCTTGAGGTAGGGAAAGGTATAGGTTTTATGTGTGTAAGGTGGCTTGCCCTAGACCAGGCCTATGCACAGAGACGTCATGCCACAGTTTAATATGAATACTCCACTCAGTAAACCGACCTCAAACAGTCCTTGTTTTATCCCCTAAACGTGGAGCACCAGGCGGGGCAACATCAAGTACCGCCTCTAACCTTGTTGGTACGATGCGGCTGGGGATCGAAGGACCAAGCTAGTTACATGCCTCTAACGGTCCCCTAAACAAGCTGTAAGCGTCCTGGACAAACACTGTCACCACCAGACGATGAAGGCTGTTTCATTTGCCTGAAGCTGATTGGTCAACGTTGCTGCTGTTCAGTTCAGTGACATCGCAAGTCTCAACATTTGGACACTGTCAAGTAGGTTTTGTGGTATATCATTCGTTAAATTTCAGACTGTATATGCAGTATTATTTTGTATATTCTTCTGTGGTGGTATGACTTCTTCGCCACGCTTCCCGATGCTCGCTCAAGTCACATCATACAGCTTCCCTGTAAAAAGGGAAAATATCTATTGCCCCGTTAGATAAGTCATTGTCATATTTTATGGCTTTTTAAAACGTCTGGTGAAGAAGGGCGAAACCATCCCTGATTGTCTGTTTACATTCTGCCGATGTCTAGACCTATGTCACATGAGGCACAGTTGGCCACACTCGTCTAAATCGCCGCAATTTGGTATGCAGAGCTGTTTCCATTGTGACACAGTGTGTTCCAGGCCACGTTCGTATGGCTACGTATTATTTGCTGTACTCATTGGTTTCACTAAAGTGGTAGACACTTCGGGCGGCGTTTCATCCAGCTTACTCACTGTGTTGCACGATTGTTCAGAAGCATTAACACGATAAAACATGACGATAAGAGGATGTTTCGAAGTGATATAATCAATCCACAATAAGTACATGCTCTGTTCAGAAACGGGTGTATTTGTATATTTTCCTTCAACTCTGGTCACGGCCCTGGGCAAATGAATGTTTCGCTGGTTGTTGGATGTGTGAGAAAACGAGTAGTTCCATCGTTACTTCTGGACGGAACAAAATGGTACGTGATTTATAAATAACCTGGGGCGGTGGTGTAGCCCAGTGGTTAGAGCGTTCGCTCGTCATGACGTAGACCCGGTTCGAGTACCTACATGGGTACCATGTGCGAAGCCCATTGCTGGTGTTTCCCTGTCTTGATATTGCTGGAATATTGCTAAAAGCGGCGTAAAACCATACTCACTCACTCACTATAAATAACCCAGTCATTTACTGGAAAAGTATATTTTCTCACTGATACATTACGGAAAAGCCAATCACTCTAATCACTCTCCCAAATTGATAACTGAGGCTGGAAGTACATATGGAAGTGGACACATGGAAACCTAACAAAACCCTACATGTGTGCAAATGAAACTATTTGTCCAGATTAAAGAACCAGTAAGGTGTTACTGCAGCAAATGCACAAACAATGACAACGCAAAAATCCACAAAGGAGAAACGTAACAATATTTTATCCAATTACCAAATGCAGAACAACTTGAAACAGAAATACCCGAGTAAAAAAATTGATAAAGCTTCTCTATACTGATGACCTTGACCTTTCAACGTGGAGCTGACATTTCACAAGATTTTATTGTATGTTATAGAACATTTACTGTGGCACACTGCCCCAGAAATCAACATCAAATTTCACTCCTACATTACTAAACCTCAATCAGTTGGGCTTTTCTTCCCATCATAATTAGATGACGTTGGAATTAAAAGCTTTAAACAAGGTTCAAACGCCATTGAGACAATCGGTGACTTCACAACCAATAACCTTTGGGAGCAATGGACATGATGTGCTCTTTTTCATGGATGCAGTTGATTACAGCCGTTTTGACACTCCTGAGAGAAGTCCATGACGTCGCAGAAGCTGACGTCACATGTGACGTAGACGAAGTCGTGTCGGCGGGGAATCTCGAACATGTCGAAAGAGAAGCGGGTGGCCTTGTCCGCAGATCCAATAATGTGCACGAAATGATTCGACTCACATCTACAAGTAAAGGAATTACATATTGGTTAGTCACAATTGTTAAGTTGTGATGGTTTAAGTAGAAATGAAGATTTACAATGGTTATGACGGTTTATAATGCTAGCCTATTGAAAAACCACGCAGCAGACATATGGATACCTCACTCAGATACACTATGCTGGCTCCGATCCAACCTTGTTTTAGCCCCATGTTCACTACTAAAGGCCATCTGAAGGTTGACGTGTGTTCACAACAGTTAGGGCCACCTGAAGGCTGATGTAAGATCAATGTTCATTCGTTAAGGCCACCTGAAGGTTGATGTGTGATCAATGTTCCATAGTTAAGGCCATCTGACGGTTGACGTGTGATAAATGTTCCATAGTTAAGGCCATCTGAAAGTTGGCGTGTGATCAATGTTCATTAGTTAAGGCCATCTGAAGGTCGATGTGTGATCAGTGTTCATTCGTTAAGGCCATCTGAACGTTGGCGTGTGATCAATTTTTATTAGTTAAGGCCATCTGAAGGTTGACAGGTGATCAATGTTCATTCGTTAAGGCCATCGATGAACCGTCATGCAATCATTGTTTGTACTAATTACTTAGTATTTGACAAGAAAGAATTTGCTCACCTGTCCATAATAAGAGACACCATGGTAGAGTTATCTCTCCTGTTGTCAGGGCTGATATAACAGTTGTCAACCACCAGTTTAACATCTGCAGTGCTCTTGGTTTGAACTTGGACGTAAACACGAGCCCCCACGTTCACAGACACATGGTTCTCTGATATCTGATTGGTGAAACTGCTGTCGTTGAATAGTTTGATGTCCGCTTGGTGACCTTTGACTTTGCTGGAGGACTGGACATGGATGGCGTTGTTGACGTCAACTGGGGAGACAGTGACGAAGTCCACCTCATGGCGAGGACGAAGACATTGAATGTCGTAGCGCCACAGGACGCGGTCTGCGAGGCTTGTCAGAGGATCAACGTGGTATTCAACAAGGTAGTTTGTAAAAATGTAATCGGTGCCATTTTCCTGGAAGACAAATTTGGAAACAACATGGAAAAATGTATTCAACATCCTATATATTTCATACTATCCATAGCAAATGAGCTTATTTCAATTTCAGTTTAACTTCCAGCCTTCATATTGACCCTTGAGGAATAACAAAAAGGCAAATTTGAATGAAAAGGGAATGAAAAAGTTCAGTTCAATGAGAGAAACAAACGTGGTCAAACATTTCCTCATTTTTGTAGTGCTGATAACTATGGTATTATGACGTTAACGCGTGCGGTCATTTCCAGATTCTGTCTCACAATGTTCAAGGAATCACACAGATATCAATAACCGAGCACGATGTCAACATCCGGGTAACCTTCGCCAACTACAATAACATCCCTGACCCCCCTCCTCACTGCATGTATCAGATTTTGATTCTGAGATTGGTGTATTGTGTTCTATTCTTGACGGAGGACTTGTTGCGATATCTCAAGACTTTGTTCTGGAGGATCTCTCTGGCGTATTCTACGACCCATGATATCCCAAACATGTTCATTAGGATTGAGACCTGGCCCCCTTGCGGACCAAGGTAGAGTTGCTACCGCCTCTTTACCTAACAAATAACCTACACATTACTCCCCACACTACAATCCACAGCATACCTGTCCAAAACCCTGTACACTTCAGTTACCAACATAAATGCTCATACTTCCCCATGCTAAAATCCACAACATCCCCCACGCCATTTGACGTCAACAAATCCCAAACGTACCTGCAGAAAACTCCCCACACTAACATCGTCAACCTGTACAACTCACCTTCATATGTGTATTGCAATCAGAGTAGGTGTAGTTGAATACCAGAACATGTCCTCTGACAATGCCATGACAGATTCCAGTCGACATGAAGATATTTGAGGAAGAGTGGTCGTCAGCACCAAACATGTCCATGTTCACTTCCACCACCCAGTTGTTCGTCTCACAGACCAAAGTAAATGCTTTCTGAAGATCTAGATGGGCCGACAAAAATCATGGTTGGATATAAGCATGATTACCTTTTTAGAAATTTGGACACATTTAGCAGGTATTGTAAATATAATCGGAGCAAAAGCCCGAAACCAAACATGTAGTGAGAAGGGCGATGAAAGATTTAAATCTAAAAAACACAACTATAAAATTGTAAAAACAGAAATGTACGTAGCACAACAGAATATTAGAATTGTTATTTCCTCTCAGCTTACATGAATAAATAATTATTTGCATTGAATAAATAAGTCAGATTTTGAGAAATCATAAGTTCTGTTCACGAGATAAATTATTGACAGAAACTGTTAGTTGCTATTTGGATAAATTATTTCGGCTAAGGCATAAAATATTTTATCATATACCCTTAAAAAGGTAGGTGAACCTGAACTTTCAATTTGAATAGGAAATATAAGCGTCAACAATCTTTTCAAAGACAGACATCTTTTGAACACACCACCTGTTCTCTTTATCACCACCCTAAACACAACGCAAGGGATTCACGTGCACAAAGCAGTGGTCCCGTACACGCTTTGACGGTTTTAAGAAGGTCGATAAATCTCTGAAGACCATTAATTTTCACAATCATCTTGCATCACACAGTTGTTAGTGTTTCTTTCTAGTCGTATTTTTTGTTTGAATATGTAAATCGTACACATGCAAATTTTACGTCACACACCAATCATCTTTCAAGAGCGACTACTGTACAAACAACTATGGTCATAAGGAAGTATAAGTGGTGATGCACTCTCAAAACATTCATTATAATCATATCAACATTGATAGACTCCGATATATTTCCCAATGTTTTCAATCGTAGATTAAAAATGAAGTTCCGCTACTATTGTGGTATATTTTCAGTGATTGATATGATATTTAGAATGTTTCATTATACATTAATTATACACCGAAGTTAGAGGATTAACAATTTCCTAGGCGGTTTGCTATTTTAAAGTTTTGCTAGCAAACTAATGGAGTCATATTCATTTAAATAACTGTCTGTAGGCTCTTAAGCTCATCATTATTTGTAGCCCAATGTGCTGATCTGGTCAACGTGCTCGAGTCATTGCTAATGACTTCAGTTGCAGCCTACGAACAATAGAACGTCTTAGACAGCACTGATGACCGTCCACGTAGTAGTCGACCCCTTTAACACCACGTCGCCAGGACCGTCATATCGTCCATCAACACCTCTCGTTAACCTAGCCATAGCTCTTGTGTTCAGAAAACAAGTGAACGATTGCCATATTTAAAAAAAATAGATTCAAATACACCATTGATACTTAATGTCATTTCCAATACTACGGCGTTTCTTTTGCCTTTCAGTATATATACCATATCATTGGCTTACGAATGACGTAATGCTACGAACGTTTTGTAGATAGAGTCCCTGCTGTTTTAACATGTCAATTATATATAAATGATGCATATGTTGGAAGATTCATTTACTTACTGTTTTCGTTAGAGGAACCATCTGACATAGGAACAGCATTATAGTCATAGCCTCCAACTGAGCTGCGTCCATAAACGTGAATGCCGAACCTGCAGTCCGGGGTCGTGTTCAGATGGGTCAGAGTGGCCGGAGCTCGTAATGTTGTGACAGAATACTGATGACCACCAACAGATACGTTCCGCCAGTGGCTGTTACCACTAATTTGATTTGTACAATTGCTGTCTACGACAATGCTAAGCTGACGAGTGAATGTGTGGTTGTATCCTTGAAGATCTGGAACAGTATACTCGTGTCCATATTTATTGATTGGTGGTACTATTGACGACAAAGCTGTACACTTAGCATAAGCTCCTGCGAATTTTTGTACACTAATAGGCCTAGAACTTGATATGGTAACAATAGTATCATCAACAAAGCTGTGGACATGGATCTGCCCGGGTTGCAGTGAGAAGGAAGAATGCTTGTCACCTTCAGTCAGAGTAATGGACGTGTTAACTTGAGGTGCAAATATTCGAACCTGATTCACGTCCATTTGATCAGTGAAAGGAATAACATAATCCTTTCCTAGAGAACTTACAGGCGTTATTTGGTCTAGTAACTTCACATTGCAAGCGTTGTCGACAGTGGTGTAACCTGAGCCATAAAATACAGCCACTGGACTTGTACTGAATACCCGTGTACCATGATAATCACATTTGGATGACGGGGAGGTTCCAAAGTGTGCAATGTGAAAAACATCCCGGCTGTTTAACAATACTGTAATATTGTCTCCGTTATGGTACATATTGTTCTGATAACTGAAGGAACACTTTGATGTGAAGAGCACTGCCACGGTCGTGTTGTCTGAAGATGCCGCTATCGACAATGTGGGGTTAGTATTCACAGAGGGAACGATATAGTCAGTGGACAGGGATGACACCGGAATGACGCCAAAGGCACAAGTTGCAGCCGTTAAAGTATCAAACAATGCATACACTTGCACAACACCTGTACAGCTAACTTCAACTGCACTCTTCCGGTATATGCCAAATGTGCTAATGTGATTTGTTTCAGGCAGATTATACCGGTGGAAACTGGTATCTAGCAACATGGTGGATGAACCTGATCCCGATGTCACGTTGCAGCTGGTGCCGTTCTGGTTGGCTGTCAGATATAAGTACATGTGTTCCAGTACATCTGTTCTCCCTGTTGGTGTGTAACTCAGCAAGAAGGAGGATCCTTCAAATGATCCTGAGCCTGAAACGGAACAAAGCATGCATTACCTTACGTGAAACAATTGTACAGAGACAGTTTTAGTTCGTGAAGGACCTACCGGCTCATTATGCAAGACATATTGCAACATACATCGCTTGAGCGGCATATTTCACTTGTATCTTCAGTGCTAAAAAGACTTAGCCATTTGAATAATCTTTGCAGGATTGCGTGGTTGAAACAGTTATATGTATATACACATACCCTTTCTGTTGGAATTTCCCCGTTGTATCATATATTTTATTATTGCTCTCAGATCATATATTTTCATGCTTCAAATTATATACTAGGCGTCATTATTAAAGGGCCAAATGATGTATAGCATATATAAAGAAAGGTTTCTCAGAAATAATAGAACTAAGAGAGTTATCATAATGTTTAATGTGTAGACGAACGTGACACAACGTGAGGTGAGGAGAGGTGAAATTGGGTTTAACGTCGTGCTTGAGAATATTTCGCTCATATGACGACGTGCATGCGTGTGTACGTGTATGTGCGGTTGCTTGTACTAGCCCAGACTGAAGCTGGTTTTATAGTGCTAGCCCACTGAGATACCATGCCGTAGTGAAGCATGAATACCCCACTCAGACACATTATGCTGACTCCGAGCCGACCAGTCCTTGTTGTACCCATTTATGCCGAGCGCCAGGCAGGGACCAACAAGTACCATATTTTAACGTTTTTTTGGTATGACGCGGTCGGGATCGAACCCGCGACCTTCCGCTCTCTGACACACCGTGACATACAGACAAAACCTCCAAACAGCACCAGTAAACATCAGTTGTATTCTCAACTAGAGCTATGCGAAGTCATGGGAGATTCACTGGTGCTGGGTGACGTGTGTACACACGTCGACTGAGTTCATCACAGACATGTTCAATTGGGTTGAGGTCTGGCGAGCATGCTGGCCACTCCATCCGCTCTACACCCTGCTGCCTAAGGAATTCCTTGACAATCCTGGCCCTCTGAGGCCTAGTGTTGTCGTCTTGCAGTAAAAAGGGTCAACCACAAAAGGCATGCATAGCTTGCAGGAATGGTACTGCTATAGGAGCCAGAATCTCGTCCCGATAACGCTGTCCGATAAGATTACCGTCGACCACGTGCAGTGGAGTACGTCCAGTAGGAGTTATCCCTGGCCAAACCATGACCGACCCCCCGCCAAATCGGTTATGCGTGGTCACAGTTGCATCTGTGTTTTGATCTCCATTGCGACGATAAATCTTCTGCCGACCATCATGGAAGGACAAATTGAATCTGCTTTCATCTGTGAAGAGCAAACGAGAAAATTGACGTTGATTCCAGCGGCCCTGCGGTATACTCAAACGCGCCTGCCTGTGACGTGGTGTTAGTGGTGGATGAACTGTAGGTCGCCTACAGCGGAGTCCGGCTGTTCCTGGATATATTCACAAAGTTAACATGGAAGTGTTGTGTCTGAAGATCTGCTGCTTTAAGGAATCTGTTCCATAACGAAGTGTTAATCATGTGCCTATCGTCTCGGATTGTTGTAACTCTGGGGCGACCTGGTCGACGTGAGCATTCCACGGGCCCATTGGCATGAAATTTCTGCCACAGTCTACTAATAGCACTCTGACTCACAGAAACCTGCCGCTGAGTTTGACCAGATTCTAAAAGGCCTATAGCCTGACCCCTTTCAGCAAGTGTCAAAAACCGTTTCACGTTTTGCGCTGCGATTTCAAACAGGTACCTTAACGGTGAACGACAGTGAAAAAGCATCAATGCATGTGTGTTGTCATTCACTTTCCATGGATAGAGCGACTTGCACGTGCACATCATTGACAGAAAGTGGCAGGTGGATTTCCATATTGAAAAATTGAATAAAAAATGTGTTATTTGCTACAGAATGTATCTAACGTTAGAGAACGTACTAATGACATTTCAACGGGCTGATGTGTTTTTTCCGTACTGTTAAGAAAGTTTGTAAACCATTTAGTTGTATATATTTGAAACAAAACGAAGATTTTAAGACTTTTAAGAAATAGTGTTACGAACAGCTTGACCCTTCATTAATGACGCCGAGTAAATGCATGTTTCTAGCTCGCACATATCACAATTAACCAATCAGTATACACTATTTCCAATCAACCTTTAAATGACAGGGTCAATAAATGCACGTCAATAAACTTTAAGAATTATATTTGGAAATTTAGGTTATGCAGAATTGTCTTTGAGGTTATTGTGTTGATCTCAGTAAGATAACCATACTCACCTAATGCTGCACTGTATGTCCAAGATACCAACAAAATAGATACCAACATGGTTCGGGCTTCTGTCGAGACTATTAGGTGCAAATCGAGTAACCCTTTCTGTGTAAATCTCATGCTTATCAAGACACTTGTGTTATGTTCACATGAAAGATTAGAAAACTAGATTCTATAGATACTAACCAAAAAAAGTAAAACTAACTCTTAGAAGGATCATAACAACATATTTTGGACATTTGACTAAATAATTATTTATTGACAAAATCCATATCTGGTGGCAGGAGACAGAGAGACGCGCCCCAAAGGAGTAGCGTTGTGAACACCATCCGCGTACAGGCGAGGCAGTTGCAATGTATTGGACAGATTACTGGAAACAGCAAAGGGGGATGAGGTTCCAGATGTCAGAGTTACCGGCTTGGCCTGCTGACACAGCATATGAAGGGACTTGAGTAGTGAGTGAGTGAGTGAGTGAGTGAGTGAGTGAGTGAGTGAGTGAGTGAGTGAGTGAGGAGTGAGTGAGTGAGTGAGTGAGTGAGTGAGTGAGTGAGTGAGTGAGTGAGTGAGTGAGTGAGTGAGTGAGTGAGTGAGTGAGTGAGTGAGTGAGTGAGTGAGTGAGTGAGTGAGTGACTGACTGACTGACTGACTGACTGACTGAGTGAGTGAGTGAGTGAGTGAGTGAGTGAGTGACTGACTGACTGACTGACTGACTGACTGAGTGTGTAAGCCCGGCTACCCCTGGCAGAAAACCAATTCTAGCCCGGATCTTCACGGGTAGCGCGTGAAGAAGAGTAATGCTTCAACGAAGTTTGTTATAGCACGTGCAACATATGGGCGGGTATTCACCTGCCACAACGTGACCTTACGTCCGTGCATTTCACAAAGGGAGGAACACGAACGATGTGATACATGTGTCAAACTGTATCCTGGACACATTTGGAACCCTATGCGATCACCAGAGATGTCGACATGAAACTATGACTGAACTGTGAACAGTATACTGACGGTGACCTGGAACTAAAATTGGGCATAACACTGTAGGTAAGGACATATGTTGTGCTCCTACATCTGGTTACGTGCGATTCTGCCACTAACTGGTCTCAATCCATGAATTGTCCGTGCTGTTTAAGCTTTGTACTGATTCCGTAAACGAACAAACCGAAAATGGTCATGAGTATTGGATATGGTCATGGTCATAATGACAGGATATGGCTCAACACGAGAGAGGGAGAAACATGTGAAGTATGGGAAATTATATACATTTGGTGCAATATCTCATAGCATTAACAGTACACATAGGGACCAGCCGATTGATAGAACCTAGCCCATTCTACCACCCGTCCAGGTGAAGTTAGGATTGAAGTGGTGTGTTGGGCAAAGGAACGCTGTTCCTGGAACCAGTGGCCCCAATCACTAGAATCCTTGCCTCTACCGACACAGGGGCGCAACCCACGGAAAACAGGTTGCCAAATGCGGTCACCTCTAACAACCAGCAATGGGGCTTTGTGGACCTATTCCACACTTGGGAAGAGCTATTGACGTTACCATGCACTCACCACGAAGAGGTTGCACTTCGCGGGTACCAATTCTTACCCGGATCTCACTCAGTCACATGTTACCGACTCCAAACCGACCAATCCTTACTTTAGAGTGATTTCGATGCTATGCCTTTGTCCCCGAAAACACTGGACAATCTCACCACCAGACAATGGAGGTTTTTTCTTTCGCCTGAAACTGTTTGGTCAGCCAAGCACCTTGCTAATCCGCCGTTACCACAAGTGGACCATCGAATATCAGCTGGACATGCCATAGGTGGACGCCGCAATTCGCTGTACAGAGTTGGGTCCCTTGGGACCCTGTGGGTTCGAATCCACATGGTTCACACTGACAAACAATCATAGTCTTCACTGTTCTTCGTAGCCCTGTGGATAAAGCCACCAAGTTTGTAAGCGAAGGAATGCAGGTTCGAACCCAATCAGCTACACATTATATTGGAAGTTTTCAATATAGTGATATTTTACGACCGTATTCAAGTAGGATCGAAACCTCGAAGTCGGTGTTCATGCTTTACACATATGCTAGTCCAGCTCACAATTTCACGTTGTCACAACGTTATGCTTTCGTCCGTACAACGTTATTCTGTGGACGTTGAGACAACGTTGTGACGTGATATTAACGTTGTCAGTAAGAATGGAAATTACGTTACTGTGACTTCGGTATATTTATGGGATGGTAGTCATCTAATAACATAGGTAAATACATGTAATGCACTACGGTCTTGCTTTCATGTCACACTTGTTCTTACGATTTTCCGGAAAGAGACAGTTTACGTCGCATCAACGTTAACGTTTCAGAAACAATGAAACATAACGTTGTGTAATAGTCGATACACCACGTTTTGACAACGTATATATGAATATGTGGTGAAATAACGGAATAAAATGGCGTAATACTATCGTTCTGACAATGTTGTGTCATGACGTTACCAATATACAATCTTCCCACAACGTTGTCATGGCGTTACAAATCTACAACCTTCCCACAACGTTGTCATGACGGTACCAATCTACAACCTTCCCAAAACGTTGTCATGACGTAACCAATCTACAACCTTCCCACTACGTTGTCATGACGTTACCAATCTACAATCTTCCCACAACGTTGTCATGACGTTACCAATCTACAACCTTCCCACAACGTTGTCATGACGTTACCAATCTACAACCTTCTCACAACGTTGTGATGACGTTACCAATCTACAACCTTCCCACAACGTTGTGATGAAGTTACCGATCTACAACCTTCCCACAACGTTGTGATGACGTTACCAATCTACAACCTTCCCACAACGTTGTCATGAAGTTACCAATCTACAACCTTCCCACAACGTTGTGATGAGGTTACCAATCTACAACCTTCCCACAACGTTGGGGAGTCTGAGTCTTTTATGGTATTTGAAAGGAAACATAAGACACTGGATGACCATGGATATCAGCCTAGATACTGCTTCAGATATAGTTATGATTGAAAATGTTCTGCAGGGGAGAGGTCAAAGAGATGTGGACAACGAGAACAGAAGGCATTAACATCACAAGACAAAAGAAGCTTCTGTGACCAAGTGCTGTGTGGAAGAGTGCATGATGAAACTGTCTTTTAAAGATATCTCCCAACTGAGATTGTCAGTTTCGAGGAAGACCCAACCTAAACAGAGCCGCTTTACTAACAGCCATTGAGAACAATATTCGGGTATCAAGAACAAAGAATGTCAGATGTTCACTTCATCCATGTAGCGCATGAAGTTTGCAGTGTTTGTCGGTGTACTGTATTCAAGATCAGTAAAACCAGGTAAGTTAGGCACAATTGTTTTTTTAGCAGAGGCATTCTTGTAAAGGCGACGAAAAGACGGATCTTTCTTAAAATTTATTTCAGAAGTGGGTTTACTTAAGCTTTTTTTCCATATACGTTGTTTATGTAGGGATTGTGTTAAGTACAATACAGTCATTTATAATGACATATATTATTAGATCTTTTTTATCATGGGAGAGCTGTGAAGGACTGTCTACCAGAAAAGGTTGATCAAAGATCTGACCAGAAAAGGTTGATCAAAGATCTGATCAGAACTTTGATTCCCGGAAGAACGAGGAGGCAAACGTGTGGCTGGATCAGTAGTTTAAAAGGTTGGTTTGCATGTATATTTTCCTAAAGCATTATCATATCATATTTATTATTATTTATAGTACTTCTTTGCATGACACAGTATCTAAAGTCTGAATACACTGATGTTGACAGTGTACACTGATGTGAAAACAACCCTGTCTCAGACAGCTTTTGTTCTTCCTTTCCCCAATCCATCCGCTACTTGTCTCTGTCCCTAAAATCACAGTGTGTACTCACTGATTAATGTGTTTGTTTACAGACATGGAGACCACATGTCGTACTAGACAGAAATCATGCCGCCATCATGCCTTACAAAGAGGCAAATCTGTGATGCCTGTGTTGAAGATTACGTGTATTAGGGCAATCTGGTGATTGGTTATAGCCGTTTTAAGGAGCTCTGGAGAGCGTTCTTCTCATCCGTGAACATACTGATGGTTCGTGAGGTATACCAAGTACCAAGTTGTCAGCATGTATTTGTTTCCCGTTACTGCAGTTATGTAAACTACTGAGAGCAATGATGCTCCTTAGATGTTTCAGAACCTACCAAGTACAGTAATATCACCGCTTGAAAGGTGCCACTGGCAAATGTTGTAAAAAGAAAATCACGATGAATTTGAAAATGTTTACTTCTTGTTCCTGGCAAAGGATTTCCCACAATGCTCTCTGTGCATATAGAGGACCCTTACAAAGAAGGAACTTGGCAAAGGAAGAAGTCAAGACCTTGAAAGACGCAAAACAGGGACAGTTAGCTTTGCAGAGGTTTGTTATTTATGTAACGGTTGTGTAAAATTAATAAAAATGTAGTTTGAAAACTGATTTTGCATCACGACATATTGAACATGTGAAACATAATATTGACAACTCATCCTACAAGAAAGGGCCACTCACTGCCTTATGTGTGTTTACAGCTTCAGTGTATGTATGTAAGTATATTGTTTTCATTATTCAAATATTTTATGTTTACAGGCTACATCGAGAGAAGTATTACAAACATGGAGACAAGACAAAGAGGTCCCTATCTAGTATGTGTCCTTAATAATTGACAACATGGACCAAAACAAGGCAAACCTTCCTGTATTTCCCGAACAACCAAAGGTGCACATGTGTATGACATATTGAATCACTGGCTCCTTAAACCATTAAACAGTTGAAATATATATTTCTTCACCTGAATATCATGAATTTATTCTAATTTATGTAGTTATCTTGTGTAATAAATCATGAATGTTGATATATTTCCTGAACATACTAGTCTTAGACAGGTAGTAATTAATATACAAGTATCTTCAAACATTTCAGATTGATGGCAGCTTGGCACATGTCAAGCACCACCTGCCATGTGTCGTCGATCATGGAAACCGAGCAACCCATGCTGTTGTCTGGAATACATGTATTCCAGGCGATGCAAATGTAAGATGTACAGTGCTTCTGTATGTCCTCAGTCGAACTGCACAGGTAACACTACGAAATATCTTCAGTATGGGTCATGGCCTAATTAATCAAGAAACATATTATGTTCATTTATGGTAAAAAAAATCCTACACAGCCACTATGAAATAGCATTTAATTAATTTACTAAACACTACCTTTTCAGTAGAACCATGGTCATCTACCAGACACGTTGTACTTACAAGCAGACAATTCGCCAAAAGATCATATAAACGTGACCGTTCTGTATTTTTGGGCATTGTTAGTCAAACTGAAAATCTTCAAAACGGTATACATGTGCTCTTTTTGCAATACAGTAATATTCTCTGTAACTTATCTTTGTTACAATCTGTGAACAATTTAATAATCCAATACATGTAGTTGGATTTGTGTTTTCATAGTGACATTCAGTTTTAAGGTGAAACTCTCATTTCTCATGGTGGGCCACACTCATGAAGACGTGGACCAGCTGTTCAGCGTGTTTGCAAAGGAACTGAGAAAGAAACCTGCTGCAACACGTGATGCTCTCCTGCAAGTCCTTGCCAGCAGTAACGACCCAAAGCCCACTGCTACTGTACTGGATGGTGTTTGGGACATGAGGCAGTTGTTTATCAACTGTGATTCACCTAAAGGACACAAGGAGGCACATGTGTTTGTGTTCAGAATGGACGGATCCTCGGTCTCCATGCTTTATATAGATTGGCCAGTGAAATGAGAAACCTACAGAAAAGTTTCATTAGATTTCAAGGTTGACCTGTCAACACTCACACCTGTCACTCTAGACAAGGAAGAGGTAAATGACACCTGTAAAGCCATGGGGAGAGACTTGGCCAAATGGGTGTCGTGTAACTTCAAGCCCTTCATGTCTGCCCCAAGGGAAGAGAAGACCTCTTAAGAAATGTTCAGGAGGCAATAGAGAGTAACCATTAACAAAAATGCAGGAGCAATTAAAGGTATTTTCATTTAATTCCATTTCTTTTGAAATTTATGTTGTAATCTGTTATACAGCGGTAGAGTGCATTGGATGTGTGTGTGTGTGTGTGTGTGTGTGTGTGTGTGTGTGTGTGTGTGAGAGAGAGAGAGAGAGAGAGAGAGATATCTATGGTATTTATGAAAGAATACATGCAGTCATGTGATTAGATGTTCATGTTATTTTCCCCATGTCCGATTTTAACCTGCTTTCAATGATAGTGTATCTCATCTTGATTGAATTGTTGGATGTTCACTAAGTAAATTTGTATTAGGCTGGCTCCATGGTATGGCTGTGACATTTCTAAAAGTCATAGTTACTTGCACACTGCAAAGTAAATAATTCTGAACTAAAATCTCATGAAAAGCAGTTCATTTAGATATGTTTAGTGTGTGTTGATGTACAAATAAAGAAGGATCTATTTAATGTGGTTTTGAAACTTAGTGCTGTATAGTGAGTGAGTGAGTTTAGTTTTACGCCGCATTCAGCAATATTCCAGCTATATGGCGGCGGAAGTGCTGTATAATACTTACACTATGTACAGAATGACAGATTATGGCATTTTATTTGACTAAACTATTACGAATATATAATAATTATATGTAAAAAATATAATGTGATGATGTGCGCTTCTTCGTGTTGGGTCTACATAGGACTTTATAGTTCGTGAACTGAACGTACATCACCTTGCTAGGACTGAACCCCCTGAAGCTGGGAAATTACTGGGTTACAAATAGACAAGAAGAATTCAATCTTTCACTTCCGCAGCCCAGTCACCTCAGATATTGAAACCAACCGTACTGGAGATGGGACAATCTTTATACAAAACACACTACTTTAGTGTGCGAAAAACGCGGCAGGATGTCCTGATAATCCACGCATCAATGGCAAGGCGCTTAATCTGCATTGGGACAATGCATAATTACCTGACGGAGCCAAACCTCCGAGATCAACTCCGGCGCTTTAAAAATTCAACTTGAGCCAGTTGAAGTCACAACTTGAGCCCGCCAGGAACCTTGCATGAGCAGAATGTTCTGGTGGCAACAGACCCAAAACTTTGAATAGACGTCCGCGTCAACCTCTTTCCTCTCTCCGACAAAAAACTCGTCTGGCTTCGTTCCAACTGCAAACGAAATTTCAGACCCTCGTTCTCCTTCCTCCTCACTTGCTGATCTTTCTGAAATCCTGTTTTCACTTTGTTTAACTCCATTTATGAGGAAATATGTGATTTACCTTTTGAAAAAATTGGAGGCCAATTAAACAAATAAACAAGTCCTTTCCAAACATGAAATTGATTTACTTAATGAATATATTTTCGCTACATGCAAAACATCTTAAGATACGAACAAAACACCAAAGAAGATACGGTTTATAGTCAAACTTGGGCTGTGGGGTAGCATAGTGGTTAAAGCGTTCGCTCGTCACGCCGAAGATTCCCCACATGGGTATAATGTGTGAAGCTCATTTCTGGTGTCCCCCGCCATGATATTGCTAAAAGCGACGTAAAACCATATTCACTCTAGTCAAACTTGATGAAAGTAGAAGAAGCATTTCTTGGATAGAGCTGTGCCTTACAATAAGATCGTCAGGGACGTGACAAAAGTCAATTTGGAGAAAAATTAAACTTGCAATACAAGACAATGAAAGGGTCGATTCCCTGAAGGCAGAATTAAAGGTTTGGACTGAAAGAAATAAAAATGGGGAAGAGAAGAACAAATTCATAAAAAAAATAAACCTCGTCAGAAATAATGAAACCCACGTTTACAGGCAACTAAAATCAAACGGTGTTGGTGATAACAACAAACGGCTTCCCATGGGTGCCAATGAAAGATTCTGGAAGCAATTGAGGCACCATGGGTCCATGATTACGATCATGCAATGCATGAAAAAATAACTGCACCGTTTTTGTGTTACATCTCAACAGATAGCCTTAAAGGTGTTATCAAATAGTCCAAATCTAATGCAGCACCAGGACCTGCTTGCATTTGAAACTGGTATTCGAAACTGTTTCTCTGTGTCTAAAAAACATTACTTTACTGTTTCAGTTCTCTCGTGGACACAGGTGATGCTCCTCCATGGTTTGCAAAGGTCGCACAATACTCCTTCCCAAGAAAGGAGACTTGACTAATCCCCAAAACTACCGCCCTATCATATGTTTGAATACGCAATACAAAATATTCACAGGGTGTTTGGCAACCCTCGTGTCATCTTACTGCTCTTCCCATGCTATAAGTTATAGAGCGCAGAAGGGAGCAAGGATCAACATCTTGTACAGAACATTATGATGGAAAAGGCTAAAACATATCACCGCAACCTCTCCATGTGCTGGATTGATGGCATACGACTCTGTCCCTCATGAATGGATTCTGAAGTCTCTTAATTGTATTGAACTCCCCGAGAGACTACTTGATTTACTCAGGTATTTTATGACTCAACTTGAGATATACCCACAGGGCAGGTGCAGACTTCGGAATCTATTCCAGTCAGAAGAGGAATATTCCAGGGGGACTCATTCAGTCCTTTCCTTTTTTGTTTGTCTTTAAATTCCTTGAAATTTCTGCTCAATTAAGAGGAGGGTTACCCCCCGGGACCTCCTCAGCACTGATCCCAAACACCACTTACTCATATCCTTCACATGGATGACATCGAGCTCTTGCCAAAGGACACGTTCTCCTTGTCGAGTGCTTTTCTAATGATATTGGCATCACATTTGGACTCGGTACATGCTAATGTCTCCATTTGAAACGTGGCTAGGTAATTAATGATGGATCAGTCAACTTCCAAGGGCATTATATTCGGAGGAAACAAGAAATAACCAAATTCATTCAGAAAATAAAGTTAGAAACTGTGAATTGGGGAATTTCTTTCATAGATTAAAAGAAAATAACACAGCAAAGATATCATTATGAAAAAAAGAAAAGAAACTGTGTATTACATCCTTCAAAAAAAAAAGCTTAATAGTTTATAAATACAATGTCGTCTTAAACCGTTTGATGCAATGGTGCTCCTAATTATATTTTATGGTTGTGAGATATAGGGTTTAGGCGATTTATGAAGTATTGGTAAGGTACATTCTGACGCTCCATTTTTATTTGTGTGTACACTTGTATCAGCTAAAGCAAATGACCAGCTAAGCATATTACACCCATGAGAATTACCGGCACTTGTCAGAAACATGTCAAACTAGTCAAAACTGTGACCAGTTAAACAGATTGTTAGTCGCTCATCTGCCTTTAAAAGCAGGCAGCATAGGCAAGCAAGGGACAGTCAGCAGACAGCATGAAGGCAATCCAGGAACATGGAGGGAAGAGCACCGACCATCCGATCCATCTTATCAGTTGCCCAGGTGTCAGTCGGACTTCGTCGTGTACCCGAGTAGTCTCTATTGGACTCTGTGTACACTGTTCGTCTTGCCTCACATAGTCCTACTCCCAGAACATAAACACCCATTCTGTTTGCTCCACTAGGACTAGAGGTGAGGTGAGGTGAAATTGGGTTTAACGTCGTGCTTGAGAATATTTCGCTCATATGACGACGTGCATGTGTGTGTATGTGTATGTGAGGCTGCTTGTACTAGCCCAGACTGAAGCTGGTTTTCTAATGCTAGCCCACTGAGATACCATGCCGCAGTGAAGCATGAATACCCCACTCAGACACATTATACTGACTCCGAGCCGACCAGTCCTTGTTGTACCCATTAATGCCGAGCGCCAGGCAGGGACCAACAAGTACCATATTTTAACGTCTAACCACTACACCAGGGAGGTGGTCGCCACTAGGACTAGACATGTTTGAAGAGAGCCATAGGTGTTACACGAATCCTGATATCCGAGGTCCCGTTAGAACTTTTTTTGATCCCTCTGCTTGTGATTGGTTTCATGTAATCTCAATCAACCTTCAACTTCCAGGTAAGTTTCGTTTAATTTTCAATTATATTTCAACCAATCACGTCGCAGTACGTGATCACGTGAGATATTTAAAGCCAAGGTTTCAAATAACCACACCGGCAAATATGAAACATATTTACATTTATTTTGTGTTGAC